TTCGTATTTATTTAAATGGGGCTATAACTTATATAAATATATTTCAATTCAGATACATATCATTGATTTGTGAAACTGCTTTCGACAATAATAAAATAATATCTGCTGTTTCAATTATTGATATCTAAAATACAAAGAAAAACATTGGCATCCTTTGATTTCATCTATAAATTTCAAATAGATTACTAAAAACGAGATTATTTTCCATTTCATATCTGCGCTTTGTGCTTTGATAATTTGAAAATCAAAATCCAAACAATGAGACAAACTGAACAATTTGAGAGCGCTATGGAAAACGATAGCCGAAAAGTGAAAAGTGAAAACTGAAAGCTAAAAACCAAAAACCAAAAACCAAAGATCCCAAACCATGTGCATAATTAACGCTTACCGTTAATGAATAATGTAAGCGAAGGGCAGTGGGTCAACTGTTGTGGGTGTTACATTATGTAGCCCAAGGGGATGGGGGGGGTTGGATTGGATTGGGGTTGGGGTTTTGTAGTGGATTGCTTCTTTGTTTTCATGACATAAGCGTTTAAATAATACAAAAAAAAAAGAAACCAAAAAAAAAAACAAAAATAATTAAAATACATAAAAATATAAAAATAAAAAAGGAGGAATTAAAAATGCACAGACAAGCGACGAGGGAATGCAGTGGCCAAGGGGGAACAGAGGTGGTGGGGCAGTGGTATGAGGGGTTGAAAAGCCGAAAGCAAACATGTGACATATGCGGCAATTAATGCCGTTAATTATTAAAGTTAACACCCAAAAGCGACATGCACAAGTCAAATAAATAAACACGCAGCCAGCCAAACGAATGAGGCAAACTCATTGGCCTGATAAACCCTAAGTACAACCACCACCACCAGCTCACCTCACCTCACCTCGCACCACCCCACCCCACCCTTCACCAACAAAAAGAAAAACGTATCCCTTACCCCAATAAAGCTGTAAAAAAAAAAAAATGCCCAAGCCCCAAAACGAAAACCCAAACGCCCCAACAATTAAGGACAATGCGTGCTAATTTCAAACGAAAACTCCGACGTCGCAACTGAAAAACCCACCTAAACACCGTGCCACCCAGCCACCCAACCGCCACCACCACCACCTTAAAAAAAAAGAGGAGAACAAGAAGAACAAGAAGACGAAGAAGAAGAAAAAAGCAAATGCCACAGCACTAGCAGCCAGCAGTAATAATGATTTTTATTTATAAACTGGCGGCGCAGGACGAACAGAGCCAGGAAGCCGTAGGAGGAGGCAGGCAAGCGATACAGGACCCATGCGTGCCACATTGGGATTATGTGAGTAGTTGCACAGCGGCTGGAAGGGGTGGGGTGTTGGGGATGGAGCCGGTTACATATACATACACACACACACACACACACACACATGCAGAAGAAGGACAGTTGGCACATAAATAATTTACACGCCTGGCCGCAAGCACACTTGCCATTTGCCAGTGTTTGTTGTTGTTGTTGTTGTTATTATTGTTGCTGGCACTGCTGACATAATTTTATATATATTTATATATATATATATATATATATATATTTATATTTATTTATATATATATATATATATTTGCTGTATTTTTAGTTATTTTGGTTTTTGTCATTTTGGTCGGTTTTGGTTGTTGTTTAGGTGTTTTTTTTATTTATTTCTTTTTTGGCCGGAAATAAGCAAAGCAAACAAAACTTTGGCAATTTTTATCAACTTTTTGTTGTTGTTGTTGTTGTTGCTGGCTTTTACATGTTTTTTTGTTTGTTATTTTTGTGTTGTTTAACGGAAATTATGCATTTGCATTCTTTTTTGCTGTGGTTTAAAATAAACTTTTCGGAATATGCATGGATATCTTATGATAATGATATGTTTATAACGCTATTAAAATAATCGTTGAATCATATTTGATGGTTGATGAACATTCAGCGTTGTACAAAATAAAATTCATATAATAATGAATTGGATTGTGTGTTAGATGAAGTGAGTAGAGCCGGGAATCGAATTGTTGCCATAAACATTTCTCGATCGATGTCTTTCAATCAGATCCAATCAGATCGTTTTCTACATATGCGTGTGTGTGTGTGGATTTTGGCCCCCTTTTTTATTTCTTTAATATTATTATTGTTACGTTTTATTGCTGTTGTGTAAACTATAAAAGCAACTATATCAAAAAATAAAAAGAAAAACTTTCAACAATGCCCAAAATTTAAAAACCAGCAGCAGTAATGATGATGTTGCTGTTGATGATGTTGCTGATGATGATGTTGCTGATGATGATGTTGCTGTTGATGATGTTGCTGATGATGATGTTGCTGATGGTGATGTTGCTGTTGATGATGATGTTGATGACGATGACGATCGCGAGGCGAACGCGTTCATTAGTTCTCATTAAAGAAAGAGATGAACACAAATCGTATGTGCCCAATGATAAACGCATTTATAAACAAAGCCTTTTTTTTCCATCGAAACCATAACTAACACTCTGGAATTTCGGGCTGAAACCGCGACAAGGCACCACAGTTGATGGCGACTGAGGGGGGAGGAACTGGTTTCAACAATAACAACAATTTAAGCATGCGGGGGCTCAGTTCATTCGATATGTCAATGTTGTCCACTCAGCAGCAGCTCGTCGTTGTCTGCAGCTAATGAACTCTATTAATAATGATGGCATGCGATATCTTACAGATATAGACAAGTATAGATATATGCATATATATGCATATATTTGATTTGCAATAATTTGTAGTCGTGGGTGGTCCCGGTCCCCATCAGGCCCCACCCAAGGCGCGAGTTCATTTCTTGATTGAACCTGACCCAACGCTTCCCTTTTCATTTTTTTTTTTGTTGTTGTTCAGGTTAATCTTTTAGCTTTTAAGCACACAAATGAGCCGCAAATGAGGCGCGACCATGTAAAATGCCGATAAGAGCTCCACTGTCCATCCAATTCATGCCACTTCAACTCGACACGACTCAACTCAACTCAACTCGACACGGTTCAACTCGACTCGACTCGACTCGACTCGACTGCTGCTCGTGTGGGCGGCAGCGAAAAAGGCAATCAACTTTATTGATAATAGAATGCGCTGTTTGTTGAACGTTTGCGTTTAGGTTTACGTTTACACAATCGATGAGGAGGGCAATATGAATATAAATAGACCCACCTGTATGGCATAGGTTGTAAATGCCGCTAAAAAGCTTAATGCCTCAGCTGAGATTGGCAGAACAAAACCACTGCATACAGTAGAACTACAGTAGAACTACTTTAACACGAATTCGTAACAGAAAAACACACACTTTCAATTGAAATGTGTATTGAATAACTGAAATCTGAGTTAATGTTGAAGAAGCGCTACTGTATCTACTGTATTAAGCAGCTTGGCAATGCTGTGAGCAGAACAGAGCACAACAGAGCACAACAGAGCAGAGCTGAGCTGAGTGTTGTGTAATGCGCAAACAACAAACTATAATTATAATAATGGTGCATCAAGCGCTGACTTTGCAGAGTCCACAAAAGCATGCAACAGAAACACTGAGAGAGAGAGAGAGGGAGACAGAGAGAGAGAGGCGCTCGGAACTGAAATAGCCAGGCTTAGATAACTTATATTTGTATTTGTATTTGTATTTGTAGTGGGCAGTGGGGCAGACGCAAGAGCTAAAGCAAATGCATACGATACGAGTGCACTGAAGTGCACTTTCGAGTACACTCACATTTGCCGCAACCAAAAGCGTACGCTGAATAAACTTGCAATGCTCAATGGACAAGTGTGCAACACAAAGGCGCCGCCTGCCGCACAACCAATAGCTGTGTGTGTGTGTGTGTGTGTGTTTGTTGTTGTTGTTGTTGTTGCTGATGTTGATTTGTCGAATGCATTTTTATAACGATTTAATTATATTTATGTCGTTTATAAACGCGTTGCGTTGGGTTGGGTTGGGTTTGGGTTGGGTTTGGGTGAGTTTGGGTGGCTTTGGTTGGTTGTGGCGCGCCATTGCAAAACGTATTCAAGTTAACGTAATGCAAGGAGGTGAGTAACCCACTTGCACCCTGCACCATCCCCACCCCCGCCAGCAGTCGTGCATTGCTAGTGACATCGATGCGATGGCCAACGCCAAAGCAAATGCCAATGCCAATGCACATAACGGCTGCCATTATACGCAACAACAACAACAACAACACCAATAATAATAGCAAAAGAAAATGGCGTCTGGCGACATAATGCGTGTGCGTCTGCGTGTGTGTATGTGTGTGTGTGTGTGTGTGTGTGTGTGAACATGGGCGAAATTATTTTTATTATTTTACACAATTTTTATATGAAAGCCAAATGCGATACAAAAAAAGAACTTTAGAACAAGGCATAAATATTTAGTATATTGCATTTTCTATTATTATTGTTTTCGTTGTTGTTCTTGTTGTTCTTGTTCTTGTTGTTGTTGTTGTTGTTGTTGTTGTTATTGTGGTGGTTGCTCTTGTATTTAATGAGATTTTTCAACTTTCCCATAAGCGCCTTAAACATCGCTCCGTCGAACATGCAACAAACTTCATTTTAATGTACTCTACATTCATATATATAAATAAATATCTGGGTAAAGCTATTTCTTTTCACTGGGGCTGATGCTTTGTTTGGCTCAACTTTTGTTCGCTCCGCCACATGTCTGTTGTGTGTCAGAAAATATACATTAAATATAATAAAATAGTCGTATTTAGCACAGACTCTTGCTGTAAATGCCAAAACTTGCTCCAAATACATGAATAATGCTTTAATTATTATTTTAATTACTTGAGTAATTGAAGCAACGTTCTGTAAGTCATAAACCCATTAAATTTATTGCCACTCTAATTAAAATATTCAAGTACTGATGAAATGAAGAATACAATACAATTAGCCATCTGTGAGTGCAAAAAAGTGAAATGCAATAGACCAATTAGTAATACATACACATACATATATATATATATCTATATATATCACTTTCTAATCAATTGTTTATCTCAATTTTATTTGCAGCTTTAATTCGTGTGTTAATCAATTGACTTTCAAGGCGCCAGAGCAAAAGGTGAGTTCTGAGTTTGGTTAACTAAAGGTTCTGTCATTGGCACCCAACATAAATACATATTTCTCACAACTCCCCTATCCCCCGCTTAACTGCCACCCTCTTCCCTTTCCATTCGCTATGTGCCACAATTGCCCGCCCCCGCTTCATTCGAGCTTAGCAGACAACTGCTTATAATAATAATACGATTTATCAAATGCACGTAAATTACAATAAATTAAAGACGAAATTAATATTAATGACTCCGGCTGGCCAAGACACAATCACAATCACACACACACACACACACACACACACACACACACCACACACATGTACACCTAACTAGATATATATCTGTACAATGTTGTGTCTTCTGTTGCTTGTTGTTGTTGCCTGTCTCTTAGACAATTGCCAAATAAAGTGCATGCCTGCCAATGTGTGTGTGTGTGTGTGTGTGTGTGTGTGTACTTAAATGCCTGATACTTGAGATCTTAAATATGAAAATCATTACTTTGATTGCAAAATTTGCCCAATTGCCTATTTGCAATGCATATGGATATGGAGAGCAGCAGGCAATGGAGTCCGCAGCTAATAAGCCCCAGATATAATACTAGAAAACTGCAAAGCCAACAAATCGCCAAGCGATTGAACTAACTGTTGTTGTGGCTGAAGGATAAAAGGACGAAGGACGAAGGACGATGTGCGATGGGCTATGGACGATAAGCAAAGGGCAATGTTGCTATTAAATTCTGTTAGAGATGAGCAATATATCAAAGTGAAAAACGATTAGACAAATGATGACAAATATAATAAATGACAAAGACAGAGTGAGAAAGAGAGAGAGAATGAGAGAGAGAGAGAGACAGTGGGAGAGAGAGAGAGAGAGAGAGAGAATTCTTAATGACATTTTCCAACACATCTAATTACCTGATGTTGAGGTAAATGCTTAATAAAATGACATGTAATATTCATATATCTAATAATAACTATACTCGTATATATATATATATATGAATATATATATTTACTCTTATAAAACATTTCTGATAAGCAACCAATACAAGGAAATCATCTTGCTTGCGTTGGAATATTTGCTATTGCTTAATTTTCGAAAACTTGAAGTCTGTTTTGTAATTTATTTCTGATGTTCTTACACACACATAGAAATTAGTTTCAAGTTCGCTATTGAGCAAATTATAAAATAAAATACTATTGAATTTAGAAGACTCTGTAAATAGAGTAGAGCTTCTCCGCTACCCTATGATAAATCACCGTCAATCACTGTTTCCACTTCACAGTCTGTGGGAAAGTCACTGCTTGCACTTTTCAGCTGGATTGCTTTGGTGCTTCAGCTGAAACTGGCAACTTTTGCATATTTGATGAGCAATATACTATATGGCACAATATCAGCCATTGCTTTAGTGTGTGTGTGTGTGTGTGTGTGTGTGTGTGTGTGTCCGTCCGTCCGTGTGTGTTCACCTGTGTCCGCGTTTGTGTCCGTTGCAGGGGTTTTCGAGCTCATCGTTCGTAGCTTGTTGAGTTGCAATTTGGCTAACAAATTATGCAACAGCAACAAGCCAACAACTACACACAACTACACATCCACACTCACACACACACACACACACACACATAGAGAGCAGCAACGGCAATAACAAAATGCAGCACTACTGACCCAACTTTAGGTCCGGTATCCTTACGGATATCCCTGCCTCAGTCTCCTCCTCTGCGTCTCTGCGTCTCCTTTCGCCTGTGGTTGCTGCTACGTTCCCATCCGTCCGGCCTCCTGTTAAATAATTGTAATTGATGGCATTTTACACAAATAAATATATGGAAATCAATAAATTTCAAACACACACTTACACATACACACACAGACGCACACACACACTTACACACACACACACACAGACGTGCGCTGGATAGTTTCACATGCATGGACATTTTCCCCAATAGACCTGAATGCGTTCAGTTTGGGCCACTTTTGGTCAGTAGTTCATTTACACGCACTATAAATTGCATTTGACCAGCAACAGCTCCCCAGCTGCCCCCATTTGTTTCCCGTCTCTGCTCGTTGGCTACCCCCCATCCCTCCGCCCCCCTCTAGCCACGCCCTGGTCTCCCGCTGACCAGGTAGTGTTGAGTCATGCATTTTGGTGATTGCTATTTGGATTTTAACAATTATTTGATGTTGTCGGTAAACGTTCCGCCGATCCAAAAACCCTCAACACCTCAGCCCCCCCCCCCCCCCCCCTCGTCGACCCCTCCCCCTGAGCTCAGCATAATATTGCCAGCGGGTGTCTGCTCATATTGTGTTGGCTGCACCTTTTCTCAATGATTGCATTTTGACTTTTAAATATGCAAAATATTTTGCATTTCAATTGCACACACACAGACACACAACACACACACACACACACACACACACTTGCACAACACACACACTTACAAATCCTTTAATAACTCTGTCAATTTGCATTGTGCCAGCGGCGGCCGTTTTATGACGTGTTAACAAAGCGCGAGGCTTGCTCCAACAGTTGCCACATCAAATATCTGGGATTAAATTTACAAATGCTTTATTCACCTGCCCATATATATATATAAATATATATATATATATATATACATATTTACCATATACTTTTGAAAAACTTGAAGCGCACGCATTTTGTGAATGAAGCTCTTTTCACTTTGTGTGGTAAATAATAGTTTAATATACATACAATGTATATGGTAGTAAATACTGATAACGGCAAACATATGCCAACAATCGAACCTCGGCTTAACCATTTTATTTGCTATGGGAAACGCATAATGAAAAAATCTCTGCGCATTTTTGCCGAGTTTCAACCATGTTTTTTTTTGTTGCATGATTTTTCGTTTTCTTTATTCTTGTTTTTTGTCCTTTTTGGTATTTGCATTGCCACAAAAAGTCGAAATTAATTAATTTGTAACAAAGTTAATAAATATGGCTTGCTATGTTGATGTAAGCAAATAATTGTGCAATTCCCTGAGGCACTCACACATGCATACGTGCCCCACCCCTTAACACTCCGCCCCTAGCCATCCACATGGGGCAAACAAGCGGTTTTATTAAATTCGATTTGAACTGATTTAATGACCGCCCATTAACAACTATTTTTATATATACCATACATATATATATATATACATATATATATATATATAATATTTTGAATAAGACTTTGCGACTCATTTAGCAATCGCCCTTAAGCGGTTTTGAGTCAACATGGGCTGGGCTGGGCTTCGACCATCGATGGCTGTTGCTCTTGCCTCACCTTTATCTATATGATTGTCGCTTGGTGAGTGTATTCAAATTGTGCCACACACAATTTGTATATATCTTTCGTAATATTATTAGTGTCGTGTTCCACTCACATGTCACAGTTCTAGCCATAAAGATTGGTTCAAGTTATTGCAGCTTAAAGTTAAAGTTTATGTTTACTGATTGTTTGTAAAATATATAAATTCTATACTGATATATATGAAAAACGAACTTATTGTTGAGTTTGTTAATCGAGGTGTTACTGTACTATTTTGCCACATTTCCATTTGCCTGCAAGGGTATTAAATCTTTGGTAATTTCTTCTTTTTTTTTTTTGTTGTTCTTCTGTCGATTGCCGACTGGTGTGAAAAGTAATTATGGCGCCTTATGGTCTTCTGACAGCCGGTCAACTTCATTCAACGTCCATTAATTTGGACACACTTCACTTCAAGTGCCACAACAGCACCCATTGCCCCTCAAGGCCCCCCACATTGCCTTGGCTTTAGCTGCGCTTGTTGCACTTTTCTTGTTTTTAGCTTTTTTCTTTTTTTTTTTTGGTGTTTTTGTTTTTGTTTATTTTCTTTTTATGTATGTTGGCTCAGCTGGACATTTGCCCCAGCCAACTTCTAGTGGGGAGGCCAGTTGGGAGGGGGTGACAGTGGTGTGGTGGCGGGTGTTTGGGGCACATTCCACTGCTGGTCACGTATGATGACCCAAATGTGCGGCACCTCCTTCAGCGTTCTGCCAGTCAGTTCTTAGTTCTCAGTTCTCAGTCCTCAGTCCTCCGTCCTCAGTCCACAGTTCTCAGTGTCGTTTGTTTGTTTGTTTGTTTGTATGTGTATTTAATAAAATTTATTACACTCTCACATGAGAAACATATATATATATATATACACATCACACCCCGTCCCCTGCCCCCGCCTTCTGTCTTTGCGTATTTGTCTAATAGAAAAATTATGGGCCAAGGCAGGCCGCGACCTTCTGGTCTGTCCAGAACGGGGTGGGAGGGTGAAGGGAAGAAGGGCCAACTGGGCTGTAGAGGCCTTAATTTTTATACGCATTCCACCCTTTCTTCTGTCGTCTGTCATGAGGAGTGTGACGTCGAGACTACTTCGCCTCGCTGCTGCTTGTGCCCCATACTTATAACATAAAATTTTTTATCGAAATGACAAGGCATTTTCATTTACGTGTCGATGCCCCAGATGAGGGGCGGTGTGTAAGAGGCCGTGGGTTTGACGGGGGCTATGTGTGTCTAAACTAATAACAGTTAACGCTTACACGCACACACGCATGTTTAGTATTAGCCACACACACACACACAGCAAATGAAACAAAAGTAATAAACATTAATTTTATTAATTCATTATTTAATGCTGATAGGCAGAGAGAGAGAGAGAGAGAGAGAGACAACGCCATAAATATATATATATATATATATAATATACATATGTACGTATATAACGTGTGTGGTTTATAGATAATTATCATAAAAAATGCATACACCAATCAGGCAAAAATTTAATTTACCGCAATTCCATGCAAAATGCACAACAGCAACAGAAAAAAATAAAAAATAAAACAAGGCAACAAAATGGAAAACATATTGTTAGCTCAACGCTGAAATTGCAACAAAATTGTTGTTTCAATTTCTGTCTAATGGCAACAAGAGCCATAAAAAGAGTAGCTAAATGACCAACAATAAAAACAATAAACTGAAAAACATTTGACATGTTGTCATAATTTATGCATTTATAAATTAAACGGAAAAAAAAGATAACAGAAAAGAAAAAACATAAACATTACAATCAATTTAAAATATTACAAATATTTATATTTATATATATAAATTGACATTTATGTTTTATATATATGTATATATATATATTGATATGCATATGGCAAAGAGTGATTCAGCAAATCAATTAAGCTTAATAGTTTTGGGCTCAATTATGGGTTAAACTCCTGTCAAAGTTAACACGAGTGCAGCATTATCAGTTAGTTTGACATGAAGTTAGTTGAAGAAGAAGAAACTCGATAATAATAGCAATGATTCACAAATCCGATTTAGTCGCAACAATATGGGGCTGCAGCTGGTGTCGCTTTTGGATGGCTACAAATAAAAATTTCAGTGCAGATCTTGTCTTATGCACCATCATCATCATTATCATCATTATCATCATCATCATCATCATCATTTTGTGCAACATGATACTCACATTACGTGGGCATTTCAATCACAGTGGCACAGCGCGTTTCTGCCGCTCATTAGCCAGCCTGCAAAATGTGCAAAGTGCAACGTGCAACGCGACCAGATGCAGTGCATCAACTGGCCACACGCTAAAGGTGCATTAGCACCACAACGTTGAATAGATACCGTGTGTGTGTGTGTGGTACGCAATATGCCACACACTCCACACACACACACCTGCTGCAGCTATGTATATAATTATCTATATATATTTATATTATAGTTTTATATGAGGAACGGACTTAGAAATTAAATTTTGGATTTTTATTATTACATACTTAAATGTCTGTATAGAGGAAACCATATCTACATACATATTATTTGGTTCATGAAGGTTTCGGTTTCGGTTCCCGTTTTGGTTCGTGGTGCACGGTAAATGTTGCGACAAACCACCTCTCAACTTCCTACTCCATATTCCCACAAAGCATTAATTATAAAGACAATGTTGGACAGCACTTGTCATTTGTTTATATTCGAGTTGTTACACTGCAAAAAAAAAGATAAGTTCACATTTAATATTCACATGTTTTAAGCGATTTATAATACAATACATGCCTTAAACTGACACTTGGCCAACTGCCATCGGCGACTGGCGATCCTCCCGGTTTGTTCCCACATGCAACTTTCTATCTAATATTTATTAGCCAGAGAATAGGCGAATACTGTTTGTTGGCCCCCACCTAATCAATCGCATTTGCCTTCCTCACTCTCCTACATACATATATTCTGATGCCGCTGAATGACTTTGAAATTGAAGGTCCTGCCACAGGTTTCGCAGGGTATCAACTTGTATGTGGTGTCCAAATTGCCGATAAATGTAATTTGTTCTTCTCTTTATAAAATATAAGTTGATTGAAAATCTTAAAAAAGTTAAAAAACCACAAAAAAAAGGTAAACAATTTTAAAAATGTAATTTTTTTGAGAATAACACTCATGCTTCGAAAATTCAATTTCGATATTATTTACTATCGATATATTTTCACAATCTGACATCTACGAGTATATATAAATTGATAACCTTAAATATAATGCAATAGATGAGTCAGAAAAAGTAAATTATTATAAATTGTAAATACAAAATGTATAAACATATATACAAGAACACGAACTGTATAGCCTCGATTATATTAGCTTATCGATTATTTGGCTCAGTGCAGCTCTGTGCGCAGCTGCCGCTGACTAACTGACTAGCTGACGGAGCGACGGAGTGACTGAGTCGGCTGTCTGAGAACTGCTTCAAGTCGTTCATTGAATTGAATGTTGAAATGGAATTAAAAGACAGACATCGTTTTCTATACAAATTATGGCCTGTTTCGAGTCTGCTCGCTTGAACACTTGACAGCCAAAGCACACACACAAGGCCTGTGCCGCAAGCAACAACCTCCTCCTCATCCTCCTCCTCTTCACCATCTCCATCTTCGTCTTCATCCACTCTCCACAATTCGTGGCAGCAGTCAGGTTGTCCGTTCCCCCCAAACATGGCATGGCATGTTCGCCCTGTTCCGGGTGCATTTAACGAACGCATTTTTCATCTCTCTGGCTTTGGCTGGCTGTGAAGTGAAGTGAAGTGAAGTGATTTCAAAATGATTATTTTTTGACACATGGGGCAACACCTGCAACGCATTTGATGTTGCAGCTGCCACAGATCCCAATGCCAAAAGAGCCGAGCCGCCTTCAATATGCATCAAATGCCAGAAACTCAATTCCTCGCCCTCGCCCTCATCCTCACCCTCGCCATCTCCTCCCCTTGCCCTTCCCCTTCCCATTGGAGCTGTCGATGTCGATGGGGCGATTCCCCAATCACTGCCTGCCTTCCTCTCTCCCATCCTCCCATACTCCACACTGCACGTGTGTGTGTGTATGTGTATGTGTGTGTGTGTGTGTGTGTGTGTTGTTTGTGTATAATTATATAATTTGACTGCTGCAATTATGTTGTTCTTCGTTAATTGAAATGTAAACGTCATCATTATGATAAGACGACGTTGAGGCCCGCTTCAGACCTGATGTGGGCATTGTGACCAAGTTTGTTTTTGTTGTTGTTGCTGTCGTTGTTGTTGTTGTTGCTGTTGCTGTCGTTGTTGTTGTTGTTGCTGTTGCTATTGCGGACGACTGACGTTGACGTGAACGTCGACAGCGACGCCGTCGCCGGCTGCGAACATTTCAATTCTATTTGTGCTCGCAACTAGCCTGCCAGGCGAATTGAGGGACAAGTGAGGGGGGGCGAGGGCGGAACGGGGGCGAGACACGCAAACAAAAATGCCATCACAATGGATGGCGGCAGCCAGCAGCCAGCAGCCAGCAGCTAGTTGCACCAGTAAAGAGCCTTGCCATGTCTTCGTATATGTTGCTGCTATGGCAGCGATTCACTGGCGAACGGTTCAGCGATGTTTAATGGCATCTGTTGGTGGCTGTGGTTCAGCGATTAGAGGATATAAACATTTTTGAGCAAATTAATGATTGCACGAATCAATGCAGTTCAATGTTGATAAACTATCAAAAGGTTAAAGCAAATTGCTTACATCTAAAATTGAGTAAAAACAAAATAATTGTTGTTGTATCATCTGCCAAATATCGTTCACATATATCGATGCTGATGCTGATGCTATCGATATGCAGTTAAAGTTAAATTCGTGTTGACAGCAGGCATTGAAATTAACTTTATCGTCTGTGTTTTTTTGGATTGAAACATACTCAAGTTTTCAGTATACCAAAATCGATTATATCAATTGCAAGGAGAAACAGAAATCTGAACTAAACTCACATTACTCAGGATGCTCGTGAAACGTTTGCGACACATCAAAGCCAACAAGGCAACGGCCACCAATCTGTGCCTGTCTCGAGTCTACGGCACGGAGACGGTTGAGATGCCGAAGGGGGGTGCCTCAACTGCAGAGATCGAATGGCTGACACTGGAGCTGAATGTGACCAAGCGGGCGAATGCGGGCCTGCTTCACAAGTACAAGCGAACGTTGGCCGAAGGCGAGAATATGCGCAATCGACTCAATAAGCAGATTGGCGATGCCCGAATCTTTGGCATACAGGGCTTCTGCAAGGATCTGATCGATGTGGCCGATGTGCTTGGCCAGGCCACAGAGGCGGTGCCCAAGGATCGCCTGGACACCAATCCAGATCTGCAGAGTCTTTACGAGGGTCTTCAACTGACACGCGCCTCGCTGCAGCAGGTGTTCAAGCGTCATGGCCTGGAGACTCGAGATCCGATCAATCAGAAATTTGATCCCAATCAGCATGAGGCGCTCTTCCAAACGGTTGGTGCTACGGTTGAGGCCGACACCGTGGTGCAAGTCACCAAACTGGGCTATCAACTGCACAACCGTTGCATTCGCCCCGCACTTGTGGGCGTGTCCAAGCGTTAATCAACCATAATACATTTGTACAAGCAACTTTGACACACACTCAAAATCTATACAGTATACAATATACACTGTAAACACAATTGTCCTTCTCTTGCCACAAAATTCTCATGCATATTAAGTTGCCACAAAGCCGTTAAATAAAAGAAACCACAAATAGAATATACAATTTTGATTATAGCTGTGGCTTAGATATAACCGAGAAGTATCCTTATCGAGTGGTCTAACAGAGAGTAATTCAAAGAGACACAGAGAGAGACAGAGAGAAAGAGAGAGAGAGAGATATTGTCGATCTCTTGGATCTTCCTTGTAAGTGAGTTGTGGTTCTAGGTCCATTGATTCTACCTATTTATTTCACTATTATTTATGTTTCAATTTGCTTACTGCTGGTCAATCTTCCAGAATATCTCGCGGCACTCTCCGTAATTTTTAGCTGGAGTCTTCAACATACTATTTGCTGATGTTTCAGGATAATGTTGCATTCGATTTAAAGTTAAGTGTGAGAAAGTCGTAAAAGTGAGAGAGAGCAAAGCTATTACAATGTGTCAATACAAGTGGCTTATTTGAGAGAATCGCACTGAAGCAGGAGGCGAAAAGCTGTGTCAATTAAACAAAGAGACGGAAACCCATTAAAAATTGAGCGGCCACTTGGCCACTTGGCCACTTGGCAGTTGATGGCAGCAACTTGGACAACGTTTGGCAAATATAACGAAAATGCCCAAAACTACAAGGAAAAACTTAGCGGCAACTTGCGAGCGTGTGTGTGTGTGTGTGTGTGTGTGTGTGTGTGTGCTCACAAATATTTTCAATTACAAATTGTATTTTTCCGTTAAGATAAGCAAAATTTATGGCAGTTCCAGCTGCCCCAAACCAACCAACCAACCAACCAAGCAAGCAAGCAAGCCAACCAGCCAAGCAACCAAGCAGCGAGGCCAGCAAAATGCCGGCAACTGTTTTGCAGACAGACTGTTTTCTACCGCACCACAAGCCCCTCCTCCCCCCACACACAGACCAGCCCACTCTTCAGCGATAGAAGTCTTTCAGTCCCGTTCCAGTTGCCGTTCAATGCCTTCTTCGCCTTCGATCGTCCTGCGGCAGCAACAAACACTTTTGCGCTTCGTCGGCGACGCAGTTGTAAACAAGGCTGCAGGACGAAAAAAAAAAGAGACAGAATAGAAAAAATGGGGAGAGAGAGAGAGCGAAAAAGAAATAATAAAAGGAGCAGACAACGGCGACGGCTAAGAACCGTTAGAGGACCAAAGACGCCAGCCAAAAAGCAAGAAAGCAAAAAGTGAGCAGCCAGCTGCGAAAAACTACGGAAAAAGAAATGACGTACAGATTTACAGAGTATTTTCTTTTACGTGCTTTTGTGGCGCCGCCAAATGTCACGTACGCCCAGACAGTGGGTCGCAGGTGGCCAAATACCCAGCATGTGTGTCTCTCTCTCTGTGTGTGTGTGGGTGTACGTGTGTGATGGGGCAAGCGGCGGAGTCGTTCGTTGCCCATCGTAAAGACCAAGTTGCAGTTTCTTTATTTTATTATTTTATTTTCGGTCAACTTCAGACGCGATGCAATGCGAGCGAAATGCCTCGCAACTTATTACAAATGAAAGACTCGACAAGGCCACGTAACGTTTTTACAAACCACCCGCAAAACACACACACACACACAGACACACACACACACAGACACAGACACACACACACACACACAGACACACACACACACACACACACACACACAGACACCCCCACAATGCCACGCCCACACGCTGGACAGCGGTCAAGTGTCTGCTGGCTGCTTCTTCTTCATCATTCATCTTGGTGTGCAGCAATTTTGCAAGAAAAGTTTTCGCTTGGCTTTTGGGCGAGAATACGCAAAATGCTCGCACTTCAAATTGAATTAGAGTGACAGCGTGCCTCAGCTGATGACTGTGTGTGTGTGTGTGTGTGTGGCAGGTAGAGAGGTGACTAAAGGTGCGGGTGCTGAACAAAAATTGACAAACTTTGGCACCATCAACGTTTGCCGCATATTAAAAACCGAATTGTAGTTAAAGCTAAAGGTGTTGCAACAATGCCGGGGTGCGGCATCCTCTGACACGACTTTGCACACGAACACAAACACTCATAAAAGAAAAAAAGACGAGACGACAACAACAACAATAACAATTAATGCAAATGTGTGGCTTGGACACACGGGGCACGTTTGTCGTTGTCAGTTGCTGGCTCGTTTAATTGATATTTTCTATATAAATATGTATAAAATATATTTCAATTTCAATTCACGTGCGTAACAAACAGACGGAAATTGTCAGCAGCGATAGCGACAGAGAGACAGAGACAGAGAAAGAGAGAGAGAGAAAGACAGACAGAGACAGAGACAGAGACAAAGACAGAGACAGAGACAAAGACAAAGACAGAGACAAAGACAGAGACAGAGACAGAGACAGAGACAGAGACAGAGAGAGAGAGAGAGAGAGAGAGAGAGAGAGAGAGAGAGAGAGAGAGAGAGAGAGAGAGAGAGAGAGAGAGAGAGAGAGAGAGAGAGAGAGAGAGAGAGAGAGAGAGAGAGAGAGAGACAGAGAGAAAGACAGACAGAGAGAGAGAAAGAGAAAGACAGACAGAGACAGGCACATTAATTTGGGATCATTTATTTATTTTATATAGGGTTACTTAAATTGCTATCGGACATCGATTTGTATTTGATTTGTATCGAAACGGGGACAGTTATCGATAATTATTATTAATATTAGCTTCAACTGCTATTGGAACAGAATATCGAAAAAAAGAAATCAAAAATGATGACGAATAAGCTGCAAATAACTTGTAGTTCTTTGAATTGGCATTTGAGCAAGAGAGAGAGAGAGAGAGAGAGAGAATGAGACGATGGCAGCGTTATTCAGTTGTTCAGTGTTGCCACTGGTTAAGTTTAGTGCCACACTTAATTGGTTGTATTTGCCTCCTCTCGCATGTCAATCATTGATTACGCTTAATGAATCGATTCAATTAGAGCAGCATTTAGAGTGGTTTAAGTTGCAATGCATCATGTAAATATCAAAAGCTAACCAAACACAAACCAAACAGTCAGAGTTAGTTGCCACGTATGCTTAGCGGATGAATTTGTTGCACTGTTGCACTGTTGCACTGTTGCACTGTTGCACTGCTGCACTCAATGCTCGGTGGCAGTCAGCGTTACAGTATTCATTTGCTGTTGCAAGTCGTAAATCGATCGCTCAACTACTCAATCTCAAGGATTGACATCCAGCTCTTGAGAATCGGTTGCCAGCTCACACAAACACACATACACACACACACACACACACATACACTACACACATGTGTGTGTGTGTATATATTTATATTGAGTTGAGTTGGGTTGCTGCCACGTTGTGGTCTGAGTGAGGGCAACGCTTGCCACCTGATGCTGCGACCCTTAACAAATCGCTGCCACTTTCTGTTTCTAACTGCAAAACGTTTTTAATGCGTTCTTAATTAGCCTCGAAGCAACTATTTGGGGATGTGTGTGTGTGTGTGTGTGTGTTTGAAGCACATATTCGATATTTACAATTGGCTCGAGTTGCGAGCTGAATTGTGGTAAAGGGACCCTTAACCACAAGTGTGGCGCCATTTGGCAGCAGTTGCAGTTGCAGTTGCAATTAGTTACTTGTGTTTACTCTTTGTGTGCCTCTCCCTCTCTCTCCCTCTCGTGTGTGTGTGTGTGTGTGTGTGTGTGGGCGAATGGGTGTGTCGATGAATCCGTTGCTTGGCACAGTGCTGAGCTTTTTAATTGTTTGCCATTTGAGTTGAGTACGTCTGGGTGCGGCTGATGTAGTGGTGTGTGGCAAGTTGCAAGTTGCAAGTAGCAAGTAGCAAGTAGCAAGTAGCAAGTCAAAGTCGCAGCTTATAGCACCTTGCAACAAGTTATTTTTTTTTCTTCTACGCACACTGAACGAAACGGGTGCACTTGAAAACAACTTGAGTTACAACAATTCACCCATTTTCTTGCTGTGCACATGCAGAGAGTAAACACACACATATATTTTGCAAATACATGTATGGATTACATAGTCATACTCATATCCATATCCTCATCCATATCCATATCCATATCCTTGCGCTGCAGCTGCAGCTGCCTCAAATTGCGGCACGACTTGTGGCTTGCTCCACTTTTATTAACTTTTTAATGCAGCTTTGCCATCCCAAATCACTCATTCACAGACCCACACACTCACACACACACACTCACACACACTCACACACACACACACACACACACACACACACACTCACACACACATTAGCCCCCAAAAACCGCCACCCGTTTGGCAGGCACCACTGCTGAGTTGGGTTCAAGAGTTTTGCCAGCTTTTATAAGTTCATGTCGAGCAGCTGCTCTGGTGGTTCAGCTGCGGTTCCAGTTGCCTGACTGCCCCAATCGCCTCCCCCCTTCCCTCCATTCCCCTCCGCACACCACTCCCCTTGTTGCACCATCCGCTTGTTTTGCCTTGTGGCATTTTCGATGGCTTTTGGTGGCTCATCCTTGGCTGGCATGCAAATCCTGCATATTCAGCTCCTTCATCTTTGGCTTTTGCTTTTCCAGCTGCTGCTGCTGCTGCTGCTGCATGCTTACTTTATTGGCTGTGGAAAAGTTTTTGGCAAATTAATTACATTTTATTGGACTGCAGCATTTTGTGTAGCAAATGCTGCGAACAAAGATCATTTCAAGCATTTCGACTTTGCTCCTGGCCAAATGGCGACTTTGGGTTAAAGTTCACCGGCGCACAGCCTAATCATAATAATAACTTAATGCGCTCTAAAAACAAAAGCGAACCAAAAACAAAAAAAAAAAAAAACACCAAAAAAACAAGAAAAAAAAAACCTACGAAAAGAAAACAAAACAATAACACTAACAATAACAATCTAATACAACAGCGACGACAACAACATAAACTCAACTCGAAAGAACATCAAAAACATTCAGCTGGATTCGCTGTTTGTCTGTTGGAGGCAGCCAGTTGCCAGTTGCCAGTTGTGAGTTGCCAGTTGTGAGTTGTGAGTTGTGAGCTGTTGAGCTGTTTAGCTGTTAAAGTGCATTTTATGACTTTCAAATACGAAAGCTCGTAAAATAATGGTGGCAAGAAACTGGGGCAGGAGCGGCAGCCC